CCCTTGCAAGCAGGACTTTCTAATTATAGCAGTCTCAGGGCTTCTCTGTCAACCTGTTTCTTGGCATATTGCCGCTCTGTTTTTGTCTATTGTTCCAATTGGATTTTATGTTAAACCTTTGTTAGAATTTATTTTTCTATTTTTCTTACCATATTTCCATTTTGTTAACTCTTTATGCTACATTTTGGTTGATTTCCCAAGATCTGTCATATAATTCATTAAATCTATTTTTATCTGTGACTAATACAACCTCTATCTACTGTTCAACCTCTAGTTTTCTATAACACCTATGTTTGTTTCCTTTTTCAAAATTTCTTGTTTTTCACCCATAGTCCAGGTCTTACCTGATTTCTTGGAATACTTGAAATGTTTTCGTTTTAAAGTCCATATAGTTCTACTAGATACACTTCTAGGAATGTGGGAGTATCTTTAAATGTATCTGCTGATTCTCTCTTATGATTCATTTCTTTGTGAGGTTTTAAACTTCTTACTGTGAACTCTTCTGTGATAATTGGTTTTCTATAGACATTCTTTGAGCCCCAAGCTATAAAAAATAAGAACATACCTTTTGGAAATTTTGCCAATACTAGGAACTTACGAACAACAGGACCAATTTTTAGATTAATTTTTCATCTTGTTTTCTCTGAACTACACTGATAATCATTCGGATTGGGTTACAGAACTAGGATTTTTTATTTTTACTTTTTGTATATAATATCCTTATTTCCAATTTCCTTGACCAGTGGGGAGTCTTTCTAGTTCCTGTTACACAAGCATGGAAGCCCCTCATGATTCCAGCTTTAAGCACAAATTACATTCTTGAACATTTATGGCCTGTGGTCTAGATTCCCCTGCAAAAACTCAAGCTTCAGTTTCTGTTCATCCCATCACTTTAAATTTGCACTTCACTTTTGGCACCTAATAAATTTCCTTTTTTGATTTTGAGCTTGACTGTATATTGAATTATTTTTGTTAAATATGGGCCAACATTTCACTGTATTTTCAGTTAGGGGAGCTGGTAGTGGTGGTTATAGAGCATAAGGAGGCTCCATCCACATCAGCTCAAGATCATTGATAGGAGTATACAGCAGGATGTTTATGAATTAATTTTGTCCCAGAACATTATAGTAGAAACATTTACAAATTTAATGATTCATTGCATTTCTCCCTAGAATTTTTGCAAGTTGATGACCAGATAGATAACCACAAGGAAAGCCAAGATAAACCTCTGTGGCAAGCTGCATTTATGGAAAAGGAAACAATGAATGATGAATGTGGCCAAGAATTCAAAACATTCAGAAAAATCATTTATCCCTGCACAGACTTTGTTTCTATAAGACAAAGACTCCTTAAATATTATCCATGGGAAAGGTGTTCAAAACATCGTTTAAATTTTCTTAGTCAAAATAGAAGCCATGTAAGAAGGAAAGATGATGAATGTCAGGCATATTGGAAATTGCACTTCCATTCTAATCTTGATAAAGCTCAACCTGGAGAGAAATTCTTTGAACTGAATCAGCATGGAAAAAGCCTCCACTCTAAGCAAGCCCTTAATAAAAGTCAGAGAATTCAAACTGTGGAGAAACTCTATAAATGTCCTGAATGTGGGAAAGTGTTTATCCAGAAAGCAAACCTTGTTGTACATCAGAGAACTCACACTGGAGAGAAACCTTATGAATGCTGTGAATGTGCAAAAGCCTTCAACCAGAAGTCAACTCTCATTGCACACCAGAGAACTCATACAGGGGAGAAGCCCTATGAATGCACTATGAGTAACTGTGGGAAAACCTTTATCCAGAAGTCAACTCTGATTAAACATCAGCGAACTCATACAGGAGAGAAACCATTTGTATGTGGTGAATGTGCAAAAGCTTTTAAGAGTTCACATCACCTTATTAGACATAAAACACACATTAGACAAACATTTTATGAAGGTATCAAATGTGGTAAGTCCAGCCTTATGCATCAAAGGACTCATACAGGTGAGAAACCTGAGTGCAGTAAATATGAGAAAGCCTTTGATGAGAAGCCCACCCCCATAAAATATCAGAAAATGCATACAAAAGAGAAATCTTACGAGTGCAGTGAATGTGGAAAAAGTTTCAGGGGAAAGAAAGTCACACCTCTCTGTTCATCAAAGAATTCACACAGGAGAGAAACCCTATGAATGTAGAATATGTGGAAAGACTTTTAGTGGAAAATCACACCTCTCTGTCCATCATAGAATTCATACAGAGAAACCTTATGAATGTAGAAGATGTGGGAAAGCCTTTGATGAGAAGTCAACACTTATTGTACAACAAAGAACGCACACCGGAGAAAAACCCTATAAATGTGATGAATGTGGGAAAGCCTTCAATGAGAAGTCACCACTTATTAAACATCAGAGAATTCATACAGGAGAGAGACCCTATGAATGCAGTGACTGTAGGAAAGCATTCAGTAGGAAGTCAAAACTTATTAAACATCAGAGAATTCATACAGGAGAAAAACCCTATGAATGTAGCAAATGTGGGAAAGCCTTCAGTGTGAAATCAACTCTCATTGTGCATCATAGAACTCATACAGAAGAGAAACCATATGAATGCAGAGAATGTGGCAAAGCCTACAGTGGGAAGTCAACTCTCATTAAACATCAGAGAAGCCATTCAGGAGATAAAACCTCTTAGAGTGGGTTAATTTCACTAGTAATTATACCTCATTATATATCAATTCACCCTGGGAAGTAACCTTATAAATGTCTAAAATGTCAGAAACTCTTCATATATTATTTAGTGTTCATTTAACTTAAAAGGCACAAAAGTATAATTGCAGAAGCATATAATGTGATCAATTTTTCACCTAGACTCTTTACCCATGAGTGGAAAATTGTATATCAAAGAATTCAAAAGTTGCAAAACTGTGAGTATATTGATGTGGGAAAGCCTTTAGAGAGAATGTAAATGGCATTGCCTTTCGGTATTTATGCTGAAGAAAAACTAACAATTTAATGAGTTTAGAAAATTATGTTAGAAATTATGAGAGAAATATGTTCCATATTTTATACCAAACATTTTGTGGAAAAGGTACAAAGATTGCAAATGAGCACTCAATTATAACATTAAGATATTCACTGTGGAATAGAGTATAACATTTTTTAAAGAACATATAATAAAGCATAAAATATTAATCCTAGCTAGGGCAAACTCCCAGTTTATTTCATAAGCAAATAGAAAAATTGCTTCCTTAGAGTGAGAAAGGATGTGTCAGCATGATCCCTGAAAGGAAATCAAACAGGGGATCTTATACATATCAACATCTTCAGTGCAGAAATACAGACATCTTACAAAAAAGACATATAGTAAGTTTTGACACACCTTGCTTAGGAACAGTGCTTATAACTGAAGACTTTGTCTTTTAAGAAGGAATAATCATTTCATGGTCATATTTTATGCCTCATTTTATGAGGCAATAAAAGGTTCTTAATTTTCATTGTATTTCCCATAAGAGCGATATTATTTAAAATAGCAAGAAAATGGAATATCCAATAATAGGCAATTGATTTAAAATGATATATCAAAAAGATGGAATAATATGCACCAATTAAGAATTCTTTTTTTTTCATGTATTAGGATTTGGAGAAATGTTCATGGTAATCTGTTAAGTGAAAAGACAGATTATAAAACAATGTACCACACAATTTACATTGTAAAAAAATAAATGATGGATATTCACCATTTATATTAGTGATTCTGGGTAGTAGAAATATAGCAGTTTTGTGATGAGTAAAATTATATGTAAACATATATATTTGTTTTATATTTATATCTATTTTAGGTGATGTATGTGTGTAAGTAGACACAGAACAAAAAGTTAGGAAGGAAATACATCAAATTATTAAGCAAATTATCATTTAGGTGTTGGGATTATTGATGATTTTTAATGTGGTCTCCAGAAACAACCAATAAAAAATTGTTTAAAGTAATCTTGTGTGTACTTGATTCTATTTTCCTATCCATCTTCCCATTTACTTTTGTCTTTAATATATAACATCATTCTCTTAAAATGACCTCTTTTTCACATATGCATACATATTACCTGTTCATTTTCCATGTGGTTGTCTGAGTCTATGGTTTTGAGTATGTATTTTGCATCTTGAGAATAAGTTTCCTATAATTTTAATTTATGTGATTTTTTGATAAAAATGAAAGCATCTCCATAGTTCTTTATAACCACCAAATCCTGTGATATAAGTTATCAGCTAACAAATTTTACAGGTGTGGAGAGATGTAGTGAATGATCAAAAATACCACAAGAGACAAAACTGACTTATGACACCAAATAGAAAGCTCTTTTCATTGTGATATTTGTGAATTCTCATATTCTCCTCTTCTTCTTGTCCTGTTGTCAGCATTTGTATCAGGGACATCATAGGTGACCCCAAAGATTTGTGCCCTATGTAGTCCTCTCCCCTTGTGTGTAGGCAGAACTGAGAATTGCTTCTAGCCAATAGATTATGGCAAAGGTGATGGGATGTCTATGACTATGTTATGTTCTATAAGTTCATCTTAGCATTCTGGAGAGAAATTTTTCTTGCTAGCCTGATGATGTAAAGCAGCCATGTTGAGGAAGCCCACATGGCAAGGAACTGCAGCTGGCTTCTAGGACCTGAGGGTACCCTGAGCTAAGACAGTGGGACTTGAGTGGCATGGTTATGAAGACAAGAGAAGTGAAGAGAAATAAGCCAAATAGACTGAGCTACTTTTTCCTGCAAGGAGCATGGTACACATTCGGAGATGCACAGCAGCCAAGTGCCTGAGGTACTAAAAAAAATAGATACTACCAGTGATGATGAACCCTGGTAAACACCACAGACATTCAGTTGGCACCTCTGAAGGAATTAGGGGGTAGCAAATCTTTCAAAGATTGATATCCCACCTTGAGTTAGCTCGCTAGCTAAGGTAATTTGCCCTTACTTTAATTTCCTATCAGAAACTAAAGGTCATCTAGACCTTTTACAATTTCTCATGCACAGCGGTATTTAATAAAAAATTGCCAGGCATACCCAGAATCAAAACTAAGGAAAAAGTGGTCTGTAGAAGCAGACCCACAAGTAATTCAGACAGGAGTTAAAAGTCATAGTCTTTAAAATAACTGAATAATATGAACAAGAAATTTAAAATCATAAGAATGCAAATTATTTCCAATAATTTTTTGCTATTTTCCTGGAGTTTCTAATTGCCCTTTTTTTCTCTTTTTTCCCCAGGGTCACAAATATACTATCTAATCTATGGAATTCTTCTTTTCTCTGGTGTTAGAATTCAGGATAGTTACTAACTTTGAAAGGGAAGACATGGAAAGGGCAAAAGGAGGATGCCAAATTACAATCAATAGCAAACTAGAAACTTTCTTCAAAGAATAGTTATCTGCAGAAGATGGTATCACTATGCTCCAAAATCCTCATGGAATGTACTGTGACTCATATACAGAGACCTTCCAAAGGCTCCATACATGATTTCTGTCTTCCACAGACACTTCAAGCACCATATGATATGTTAGGTCATATGGCCCAAGGGACAGTGGGTATGGTAGATCAGACCTATTTTGAAGTGTATTGTTGCTCTGAGCTATACTGAACATTGGCAGTTTTGTCAATTATTCAGTAAATGGACTGGAGCAGCATGTCAAAATGAGGTTTGTGGTGCTTGACAGGGTCATGTAACTCACCAGGAATGGTTTTTCAAAAGTAGTATAACTCTTTGTTTCAGATTCCATGGACTTACTCCCAAATCTCAGGAACCTGATTCTTATACTGCATCTTTTCTCACCAGTGACACCTTGGACACCATAGGTCGGCTAGATCATATGGTCCAAGGAGCAAGGCTGCTCCCTCTATAGCTTAGGCTTGCTTCAGAGCCTTTCTTGCCCTAGGCCCCATTTAAAGCTGGCAGCCTTCTGTATCACCCAGTATATGGACCAGAAAATTATTTCTAGGTGTGGAATATGTTATGTTCAGATCCCCAAAAGGCCCACGGGGTGCTGTATTTCTCTTATGTGAAGTCAAATTTTGTGTGGGTGAGCTTGTGGTAGTTTAAGCTTATTCTCCAGGATCCAACTAGTAGGAGCCACAATGATGAATTAAACAGAAATATGATAAAGACAACCACTCCTTATCCCCTGCATCCTTAACGTCTTTAATGGTGGCACTAACTCCATCATCCCCTAGGGTGCGACATTGTTTTCACTTTAACATCTTGGTTGGTGGGGGAGGGAGGAGGCAGTGGTTTCCATTTGGTTTTTACCAGTATGAAAGCTCTAACCATACAGGCCAAGGGCCCAATGTGGAGATTAGTTCAACTGCTAAGCATATTAATTCCAATTATACACTTGGAGACTGAGAAAATAACTACCGGTAGGTCTGCAGATGTAGTGGTCCACTGTGAGTCAGATTTAAGCCAGGGCTCCATTTATTACCTGGACCCAGTAAGCACTCCACCCTCCAACAAGAAGGCCATGATGGTACCTTGAGTGTCTTAAAGGAAGTTAATGTCAACTCATAAATCTGTATCCAATAGTCCTAAAAGTGAGTATTCCCCTATCCCCAGTGTATAGGCACCCAAATAAGTGGCCATAGGTTTTTTTGGAAGAGGGACTAAGGTAAAATTATAATATATGTTTGCTACAACGTTTATAGAGTCCATCCTCTGAGGGACATGGGCACCTCTCCAGACAATTGGTTTGAGATCTGAAATTTGGCTCATGTCTGGGAATTGAGCAAAGGATCCTCACTTTTTAATGAAGCAATTGCCCTCAGACCCCTGCTCTTTGAATCTTGCTTTATCTGATTGTAATATTAAACAGCAGCCCTATTGGCTGCCCGTCAATCTTATTCCTAGCAATGCCAGGCTGATCAGCAGACTTAATATAGCCAAGGAAAAATTTAATGAGCTTGAGGAAAAGTGTTTTGGCTTTTCCAATTAAATATGATGTTGGCTGTAGCCTTTTGCAGATGCCTTTAACAGACCGAGGAAGTTCCTTCCTATTCTTAGTTCACCGAGAGGTTTTCTTTTTATCATGATTATATATCTTAATTTTGTCATATTATTTTCCTGTAACCATTGAGATTATCATTGAGATTTTCTTTTATTCTGTTAACATATTTAGTTAAATTGAATTCTGAATGTTAACTTTGCATTTATTTTCATATGTTATTGGATTCCATTTGCTAATATTTTGTTAAGGATTTTTACATCAATATTCATGAGGGTTATTAGTCTGTATTTTTCTTTCCCTGTTTAACGTCGTGGTCTAATGTCAGAGTAATGATGGTCTTAAAAATTCATTGGGAATTATTTCCTCCTTATTTTCTTAAACAGTTTGTATAGGATTTATATATTATTATAAAGGTTGGAGGACAACCTCCCAGGGAGATCTCAGCAAGCCACTGGATAGGTCAAAATACACAACCACAATTCTTTAAGAACATGATTTTATATTACCCCTTCTTGTACCAGCAGTCCATAGAAATAGGACCACCATCCCCACAACCACTGCCAAGGTGGGGAATGGGGGATGGTAGCTGAGTAAACAAAAATGCCACAAGATCTCTTCCAAAATTTAACAGTCTCTTTTCTCATTAATCATGCCTCTGGTAGTTGTAAGTTTTTGATTAGGTTCCAGGGTTCCAAAA